GAAACACCAGATAGTGATGGATAAGAAAAATAAACATTTTGAAAACTGAATATCATCTACGAGATCATCTTTTGTAAGATCTGTTTCTGAATCGCTCTTGATCTTCGATGGCTATAAATGTGTTGAGATACAAAACAGTGCAATATATTGGTACATATGAAATAGCAAGACTCCTCTACCTCATCAATAACAAGCCAAACAGCACGAGCAGCAGTACGAGTTTGAATGACATAGTGAGTGTGTGTAGGGTATGGCTGTAGCTGTAGCTCTTCTCTTCATTTGCATCTTCAGACCCACACCCATACTCAAAATGATGATAATTATTCGAAGGCTACTGCAATACGAGCAATAGTTCGCAAGACCATTCGATTGCAAACCATCAGAAGAGTAGAATGTGAATGTAGCTCAACTAGTTATACATGCATATTCAATTTTGTTGCAAAAGGCCGGAGGCAAGCTGACAGTTTTGTTTTTATCTCTAAAAATCTTTTTTTCTCTGCAAAGTCAAAGATATGAGCATCTTCAGATGATAATATTAGTATCATGGGCTTTTTTTCTTTCTCATTCTTTTAATGATGATATTATTATCATATATATACCGTTATCAAATGTCTACTTTTATCATTTTTCTCTACTAACATCAACGATGTCAGTCGACTTCATCGTTGTACTCCTTTTATTGCTTCTGTTTGTTTCATCAACATTCGGTCATCTCTGTTTATGGCAACCGATGCAACGTGGAAATTTCAGCTTGAATCCACCCGGTTCACATGATTGCTATCGAAAGTTGGCACCATGTGGCGGCTTCAATTCCTCGACATCGAAACAAAGAACAACTCTCGAAGCTGGTACAGAATATACCGTCATGTTTCAACAACATTTGAACCATTACTATCCACCGAATCCAGGCCAATTGGACATTTCATTTGCTGTGGGACTTGATCCTGACGAGTCGGATTTTCAAACGTTGATCTCTTTTAACGATTATAATCCTATGAATCATAATACACAAACGAATTTTTCGATTCCGATTCGTTTACCGAATCAGCCATGTGATCATTGTGTTTTACGAGTACGTTATTTGACCAAGAATCCTGACGAAGAAGATCATGGCATGACATTTCATCAGTGTTCTGACATTCGATTGACAGCAAGCTC